TCACTGGATAAGAAGCCCGCATAGGAACATGCTTGTATACGTCTCTATCGAATAAAGTAGCTTACGCAGATCAAGAGCGTTATATGCATTGTGTCCTCCCTGAGTTTACTTCCCATCTGACACTATTTATAATTCGTGGTGAAGGGGATTTGTGACACGTGTTAGGGAGATGAAAAACTTCTTTTGCCATCGGTTCTCAGTCTAGTATCATGCACACTTTTGATTTTCGCTGAACGGTCACCTTTACATTCTGCTGCTGTGAATCAGATTATTTCGGGCGATTGAACCCTACTCATGTATAGCGAACGTAAAACAATGCGTTAGTTCTACATTTTATTTCGACAACTAGAATACACTGGAGCAAACGTTGGTAAAATGCCAACAGTTTTATCCATTGTGATGAAACTTGGCTTTTGTACCAACGCTCCTTCCTAGCTAGTTGCAGGGAATACAGAGACATACTGGCATAAACACACTAGTTGCAATTTCAACCGGTGGGTGTAGTTCTCAGTTTAATCGATCTCACTCGCATTACTTTGTCGGCACAGATAGGTCCAATACATGAATATCACAAACGAGAGATTCAGTTGAGTCTCCCGTGAAAACCAGATTGATCCTCAAAAACAGTTCAATTTGGGTTCAAGTAGAACATAAGGTTGACGGAAACTCGGGGTTGCGCCTACCTAATGAGCCCCGAGAAGGGTGAAACCGGTTGTGGGCTGTCGAAGAGTTTTCAGCAACCTTGTGAACAGTTTCCTTTGTGAAAATGTACCGCGATATCTTGAATATCGTGCCAATTGAAACATGAGACGGCCTGTGTGCAGCACATTCAGTTGTAGACTATATTAAACGGGAGATTCAGTTGAGTCTCTCGTGGAAACCGAAATTGATTTGCAAATGCGTGTATTTCTCGAATAAATGACCCTGTTTTTTGGGGCCAAAATTCCATCATTCAAGTTTGAAGCTGTTTTAGGGTAAAGTTGTATGAATGCGATGAAGACGACATGTTAGCTTCACCAGATTTTCTGATCGGCTGTTGGTGTTTGCTTGTTTCGCATGCGTCCTTCCTCCGTTCGGGACCATCAGTGAAGGTCTACACGGTGCGGGTCAGTATGTTTCATAAATTATGGGTTTCACTTTGTGTGCGTGCAGAAGCTCTATTCATTCTCACACCATACTCGTCGTAGGTTTGTCTCATGCTCAGACACGTGTAGGACCACCACCCCTTGAAACATTTAACATGTGCTAATGAGTGTATTTCGTGAAATTCATCCAACCTGGGTTGAAGTGAAACAAGGTTGACGGGAGGTTGGGGGCAGCGGCTACCTGATTGACCCCCGAGAAGAGCGCAGCTGGTCACGAGCTGTCGGAAAGCTTTCTGGAACTTTGTTAGTGGTGTTCCGTCAATTTAGCAATTTCTAGTGACTGGTATTGTCACCATGACTGTCAGTATCAGTGTGAATTGATAAATGGCATGATGAACGAGAAACTACTTGAATGGAGAGCTTCCACATGGGGTTATAGGATCAGGCTTACCTGAAAGAAGGGAAGCGTTTTCGTCACATGCCGGCTTTTACAGCGTTTTGGTGCGCTCCGGTGCTCACTTTAGGCCATACTCTGCATAGGATCGAAATTTCGCTCGCTAGGTTTATCGCGGGTAAGCTCGCCTAGTTTATCCTGTGAACGATTCAACCTACTGTCCATTTCAATCCTAGTTGCCTCGCTGTTTATGAGGTCACCTGATCGTAGTGGTCAGATGTTCACTTTATCATCAGAATAATTTCAGGGGGTTTACGCGGTGAGGGGCATTCAGCACTGATATTCTTATCGTCGAAATTTTCGGAGTGGTAGCGGACGGCAATAGCCTTCGTGACTGTTAACTGGTTCCTGTATCATCGCCATCATTAGAGACCTATAGCTTCTACTGAATACAGAAAGTGTAGGTGGTGGAGAAAATCATGTGGGATAAACTACTGCGTAGAAGTTCTGGGAATATAACCCAGATAGTGATAAGTTTAAATCCGTCAATCAAATGAGGCAAAACGACTCGTGGTTGTCAGTTGCTCGAATGAACCACCTACCAATCTGGTGTGTGTCGTGCATTCCCATCTAGCTAATGCTTGTTCACCTATTATCTTATTGGCTGTAAATTCCACTCCTGGTTTCAACTTGTTTACTTACTTATACAGCCCCCTGGAATGATCCACTGTAGTTACTTTCAACAGGTAGTCGTCGACTTCTAGTAGATCCTTGAGGAAACGATTTTCACGTGCCTGCTGGTAGACGAAAAGGAGAAAGCAACAACAAATGTCCTATAAAAGCGTCTTTTCCCCGTACATGATGGGTTATATGTGTTCAGTCTGATCGCACCCTACTCATTACAACAACAAAATGGGTGTTTGCCACACCCGGTCTTCCGCTGCTGTTATGCAGCTACAAGAAATCAGCGAAAATGCGTCATTGTGGAGGACTGTAAAGGCACTGACCTTGTTGTGTCACCTATCGAATCGCCCTTACTTTCAACACTATGTACTAATCAGAAAGCGATGCCGAACAGTACTGCTCCCTGTTTGTTATGTCTTACGATTTATAGCAGCATAACTTGCTGTGTCTAATGTGTTCGAGATTACATGAACGGAGAAACAATGTGTGATCCCGTTACATCTTACAACCTACCCATTCTCGCTTAGAGTTTAGCATGTGATACAAAAGAACTCCTCATCCATGACACTTGATTTCCATAGGCTGAACTAGAGAGAAAAACGGAATCTACCCAGCTTGCCCAAAGTTTTACCCAATAATCCATAACTCGATTATTAGGTTCTAATGATCCCCCTTGCACTGATTCCTCTCCTGATGCTCACCTGATTGTGAGACAGGCTTAGTTCGTGTCTCTTGAAAACGGAACGATTTGCATATTTCTTCTGTATCGTTATATAATACGGACACTCACCGATTTCATTGTAGTGTTGACAAGTGGATTGGATGATCATTTTATGTTTCTGATCAGTTCTGAAGAACGAGTCGAAAAGTGGTGGGTGCCAAACATAGAACAACTGGCCGCGGATGTTTTAGCCGAAAATATTGATGGCGAGAAAACACATAGTTTCCTTGTGCAGAAAACCAAACTAAGGGGCTTGCAAATTACCGGTCTCTATCGCTCGCGAATCGTAAACTATTGGTCAGTGACCCTAAATGTCACAGTTTTTCTGACATTTTACGTCATAAGTCATCTAGTATCTTCAGAAAATTAGTTCTTGGATGAAAAAATCGGTAATATTCACTTCAAATTGGCGGCCATCCATTCATTGCACCTATTTATCCCGACCTGTCTACACGAATGGGGTTTTTAATGCCAGTTACCGAATTGAGGTAAGAATCTTATTGCGGCAACCTACAAATAGCGTTTCCCCCGCTTCAGACACCCCGCTGCGTTTTCTAGAAGCAGCCAAAGAGAGCCCTTCACCGGCTGTCAATTAACTGGCATTTCAATCCTCATGCTTCTGGATCACCCAAACCACCTCCACTTATTACTTATGAGTAGCTTTGCTATATTTGGGAATACTGTTCCAGACGAGAAAAAAAGAGGAAAACCTTTCGCAATAGACTGTAGTATGGTGCATAATGGAATCGCTGAACAGTTCAGCATAATGGAATACAGATTGAGAATCATTCTGCTACGTTTTTGAGTCTTTTGGGTCCAGCTTAGAGTCTTGTTCTTTCGTTTCGCTTCACATGTTGATTCCTCTTGAATGTCGTTTACACCTTGTCTGTCTGTGTGGATAAATTAGTGCTACGATATTTGTCGCAATCAGCCCAATTTGGGTTCAAGTAGAACATAAGGTTGACGGAAACTTGGGGACTGCACCTACCTGATGGGCCCCAAGAGGAACAAAACCGGTCGTGGGCTATCGATGAGTAGCTTCCTTTATAGTGCTGCGATAGTTGTGTAAGGAAGAGAGATTCTGTGACCTTTGGTCTGGTTGGGATTTCTACTCCCGTTTCAACAAACGTGTATTAACAGTTACACACAGTCACATGTCAACTCGGCTTGTCTAAGTCTGCCTTCCACACACTCGCCAGTTTCGTACCCTCGATTCTAATCACTCTATGATACTTGGTAATTTCCACCGCCTCGGCTATCAGCCACTGTAGTGTGAATCATAGTCCCCGTTTTAAAACTTCCGCATTCTCCAGACCTAATCTATGTGATGTGTCTAACGCATGTACTGCCATTGTTGAGTCTTTAACCAGCGTCTGGTATTCTTCCGCATTCCTTGGTGGCTTGTTTATCCTCCTTTTGTGCTTACTAATTCTGGTAAGCGATCCTCTGGGAGTATGTCTAATGTAAACCTTAGTGCAATCGTTGGAGTTAATCTTATACACAGTTCCTAGTCCTTTGAACTGGGTAGGGATCTTCAATTACTTCAAAACTGAGTTACTTGAATATTGGCCAACTTCGGCAGCCTTCGAATAACATCTGGTGCTCCTGCTTTATACGGAATTACTGCTGTTCCAATTCGCTTTTGGTTTCACACGCAGAAAAGTCTTGATAACTGTTGAGGGGAAGGCTGTTTACGGATTACGCAGGTAAGTTGGTAGGTTCTGGTTCCTCGAGATTTATCGGTCTCCCTATAAAATTTTAGGGTGCTAGCTTAAGGATGACCATCCGTTTGTGCTCCTCGCACACGTGGACAACGTGCCAGTTTAGACATAAAATCAAAATGATCGACCAATGAATGTAGCCAACTGACCCTAGTAAAACAGTCTCCTGATGAGACTCTTCCGAGCTTATAAAATTCGTTGGTCAGTAAAGCAATTAAATGGTTAAAAGCTGTAGCCCTGAAACAAAGCACTCTGGCTTTGGTCACGCACAGAGATGTCGGCACAACTTACAGCTTGATGTAAAAATGAAGAGTCACGTGGTTTTCTGTCTCGACCTCCAGTCTATGTATCTTGAATTCGGTAGCCATCAACCGCGTTCATCTCTTCCCTCCAAGGTTCGTCCACTTAACGATTCTCATGGCCAGGTTCGCCTAATACCATCTCAAACGCTGGAAGAACGCAGAACAGCATTCAATCAGGAGAAAATTCCAGGTGAGCTGCTCCTACACCCACTTTAGCCACGGTAACCACTGTTCGGGCGAATCCAAATCGATTACTATGCGCATTAGTGATTTTTACATTTACGCACCCATCCTTTCCGTCATATTTTCACATCGAGACTGCTATGTCATTGTGGTAACGAGGTCTTGCTTTACTGTTTGATCTGTGGTAGATAAAATATCGATGACATCAATGGAGGCCGTCCGAAGACCGGTGTCCCAAAGATCGTTTATCCATGCATGTTATTTGTGGCGGTTACTGTCTACTAACGTCGCGACCACCACCTTTGCACACTACGCCCACAGTATGCTCCGCTACCATCCACATCAAAGCCTGAACTAATTTGAGACTATTACCAATAGCAATTCAGTGTATGAACGTGGAATGGTTACCAGTTTTAGACAAGTCTTGTTACCTTACGACCCTCATCTAGTAGCATTATATGTTTACTTGTGTTTAATGTAGTTAGGTCATAGTTGTGGTGATTCGTCAACTATCGAGTGTTCGATTCCCATCGGGAAAGTTTATCGTTCGACTCACCCACGCAACGCTTGTTATTCCCGAGAGGGTTGTTGTAACGGGCGGACGGTATCTTCGAGTGACGCATAATACCAGAACCTCCGGATAGGCAAAACAAAGTCGGAGCTGAGTTTCTATATGGTACTATTAGTGTAAGAGAAATTCACAAATTATACAAACCTCGACAGTAGGTACGCGTCCAAAACAAACGGTCCACTTGGACTACAAAAGTACAAAGCAAGGGAGCAAACAGGCTCCCACGTGCGACAGTCACACGTGCAAGGTCGGTTACAAATGGCAGGATGACATCAAGGCCAAATAGGTGAAGTGGCAAGGACAAACAGACGTCAGTTCACATGTACACACTGAACACAAAACAGGGGCGGGGGTTACAAATGGAGACAATAAACGTGAGGAATTTCATTGTCAACGTAATAGATGATACAGTTGTAATGCTGGGACAGGTCTGAAAGCAGTTCGTTTCTCATGGCTTTTCTCGCTCCCATTCAACCTACAACAATCCAGTTTTAAACATGTACTACACCGATCAGCTGCTCAACTTTGGTTAAATATACCCAGTACTCAAAAATTATTTTGAGTTTGTTTAAACAGTGTGAAATCGTGCTATCTCCGATTTAAACTAACTGCATGGGTAACACCAGCGAGGACTGTCAACGTCTCACCATACATCGTCGATCGGTGATGTTTTTTCATTCAGAGTACTTCCGATAACGGTCCGGATGCTTTGGTTTACTCTTCGACAACAAGTACGCATGGGCTACTAAACGCAGCTCTACGGTAATTGATTCATAGTAGGCCGACGCGAGATGAATACTCATTTGTTACTTTGCTAAACTAAGGGCTACTCCAACCTCAAGCTAGACACTGTATACCTTAGGTCACGCCAGTTCGAATGCGCTTTAGCGTATCTCTCCTATGGTTCAGTCGACCACTCTGGCCTAGATTACAATGGGGGCTTTTGATGTACAACCTATCTGTGCTGCTCATCATCTAAGCGGATTGGGCTGTGTAGCGCAGTTGACTGGTACCATTAAGGTAGTTAGATGCGTGATAACTGTTTGTTTCTGGTTCACAGGTTTTCTGGAACTGCTAAAGTGCTCATTATCTTGCGGAGTAGTTAGGTATGAATTGGTTGATAATCCATCCATGCAACACTCCAGCGTAAACGTCTATCGCAAGGTTTTTTTGCAGGTGGTCCCACTAAAGTATGCGCGAATTCCGTGGCCATCAACTCAACGTAAACACATTAACCTGGGTCTGAAATTTCTAGCAGTACCTATTAGTAATCGATATGGGCTCAAATAAGTCTTTAGCTAGGTAGGAAAGGTCAAACAAGATACTCGAAGAGAATCCGCTTCAAATTCCATTCGAACATACAGCCCCTCTTTATGAGTTTGAACGGCTTATGTGCTCTAAATCGAATTAGTTGTATCCGCCAATCTGGCCACTTTTCGTGTATCCATCGTTCATCGAGTCAGTCGGTCAAGCTGGAGGACAGTCAACGTAACTAAACTGCGTCGCATATGGTACAGTATCTGATGTGGCCACACACAAGAGGTGGTGCTACCATGTGATGCAGGGTAGGCTAAAGTACCAGTTATTGCGCACGGTCGACATCTCGTTCATTTCGTTTTTTCTGACTTGCACTGACCAGCGAAAATCACGTAGTCCTCAGGTAACTAGCGTGCATCGCGACCACTCTAAGCATGATGTGAGTGAGCTACTCAGAGGTGATCAATTGTTAGCTATTTCCCGATGAATACTGGAGATTTTTGTCGAATAATGCAAATACTTGCAAACCCCTAGCAGCAACACACACAAGGTTATATACGTACTCATTAGTAAACTTTGCGAATTTAACTTTGACAGTACCGGCTAGATATTAGCGCAGGCCAAATGCCTATGGCCTCTGAACTTTGGATTGTAGCGTGTATCTCAACGCGGATGTTGTGGCCCTCGGCTTGGAAAGCATGTTCCTAGTCAAGTGCTACCGAAATACGCTTCCGATCTGACTTTCATAGCCATTTATTTTTTCATGTTTTCCATCAGGTGGTACTCTGAAGAAAACGAGACGAACCATAAAAATGTTCTTCCGCGCTGCTGATTCATCTGGTAAGTGTACTTACTGATCCTGGGTGAGCATGACTATAGTCTTTCTGTTCAACCTAGTTTATTGGATTTGTTACCTGGTCGCGACACGTATTTCTCACTTCGATGCCTTCACTGATTGTACGTCACCATTCCCTCCTGGTACGCACTGGCTCTGGGACCCACGCATTCTTATCGTCAGCCCGGCTTATCGCATAGTTTGACAGCCAGGTCGTACTCAACCTCATCAAGGCTGGAAAAGTTTTCCAAATAACACACTTTTGTCTCAGTTTATCGCTTTTCAGGTGCACTTGATATCGCGTTACAGTTGATACCCTGATTGTCACGATATATTTTTCTTTTCTTTTTTAAATCTTTTCCTGCTTACGTCTATTGGCCAATTGAGTTTCTCGCCACACGGTCTGCAGTACATTGGTTTATGTTTGCCCCACCCCTCACAGGTCTGCGACTGCGTTCCGACATTTGGAGCTATGAGGAAGTAGTGCCATGGCCTCAATCCATGGTTCCCTGTTTGCTTCTGCTCGGTGTGACTGGCGTCGGTCGTAGGAATTTAAAAGTGCTGTTAGCTAGTTCAGAACCAAAACGGTTTGCCTACCCCCTTTCTGGTAAGTTGGGTTGTTTCTTCTTGTGAGTTTCTAACATAGTAACAGTATTTTTCTCAGCTTAGTCCTTGGTCTGAGCCTCCCAAGCTAGTGCTCACATCAAAGCAATTACCTGAGGTGTGCAAGGTATATTAACGCCCAAGACGAAGTCAGGAACACTTGTACAGCGCTTCATATATATGGCGTAAGTGTTAATAACTTTCTGGAAATTCGGACGCGTTCTGGATGCGCCATTGGCAATCGGTATTCGGACAATACTGGGTCATGATTGGCTATTGAGTCCAAACTTTCGACCAATCAGATCTCGGTTTGATGCCGTACCGGCAAGCGTTCCGAAGTTGTGGCCAATCTTGCATGGGATGTACTTTCCGGCCGTAGCAGCACCTAACTGCGAGCGGTAAAGAGGGATCCGTGTAGAATTCCGCCTAACAAATACTGTTATGGTTTTGTCATAATGTTTAAGTGACATGTTTCTTGTATCGTCCAAACTTGCGTGGGACGGTCCCGCACAACGAAGTTTGGAAGCACTTATTAGTAAACACGACAGTGTTTGTGGCTACGTATCCTCGGGTAAAATAGTGATAGTAATGCTACTAATTATTGTGGCTGGTATCACTGGTATGGCTCATTCAAGCAGCAAATATCATACCTGAACGCGTGTTTTTGTTTGTAGTGTGTACTTGTGCATGTCTGCCACTCATTACAGAAGTAGGATAACTTGAAATCTATGGACTGCTAACGCATTCCAACATGAAGTGAAATCAGCTGCAATGAAACTGGGTTTAGTGGGATCTTCGCGCCTTTCAAGTTAACCACTGCGTGTTTTTCAGACCGCTAATTTGAAAACTCCATAAGACTTAGCGCGAGACCTCCTATTGGAGAGGGATTTTTTGCACAGAATAAACGGCCGGGTGCGGGTTGTTGTAGATAACAAGATGGAAAGATTATAACCGTCTGGACAATCAATTAATTACTACGACAAACGCACTGGTAACCAGAGTTCCGGGGTAGTGTTCAGTTACTTCGATGTTGACTTGCGTAGTTGAGATAATCGGTCCAGCTAAACAAGTGGCCAAATCTAGGTCACCCTGGCGCTTGGTCGCCAACGTTTCCCATATTGCAACAGTGACGTTCTCTATAGTTCCCGTTTAGTGTAGTTCTGTTTCGTGGGCGAGTATAGTCGCAGATCGGCATTAATTGCTTTATCCACATTACCTATACCTCCTGATTTCACTGACATTTGGTAGTTACTTCAGGCATTTGACACGTGCACACTTCTACCTCCATCAGCACTCGCACAACTGGTACACATCTTGCTAAACAGTTGGTTTCTCTCTGTCATTCGGTGACTCGAACAGTATTTCCGGGGTGGATAACGTTCGATTTTACGGACTTGATCACGTGATGCTCGCGCATCAGCTTGTCTTCCGTGTACTGCGGCGTGTGCGTTTGTTCAACACAGCGATATACATGTGTAACGTACTTTACATACAAGCGTGTGTCAAGTATTTGCATAATTTTCCGTGGTCTCATGGTGTACGCTGGTGTCGAGTTCTTCCTTCGTCAGCTTCATCGATCCAAGCAACGGTACTGTGGAACTCACTTTTCACAGGCTATGAATTTCTCCGAGTAGATGGGAGCATTTGCGTCGCTGCTGGTGATTTCGACATTTTTTTAATAGTGGCCTTGAAGAATGTATTAACCTATATATGGGTTAAATTTAGGACTGGATGTTACGGATTTCAAGATACACCTCTTGAAAGCCACGCTTCTACGAATAAACGCCCCCGCCCTAGCGGAAGTGGTTCTTTTGTACAGAAATTCTTGTTATTTTCCCGGGAAACGGAGAGTAGCATGAGTGGCATGGTCTAAGTTGATTGGAATGTGCATTATTTCCGTGCTTGAGATTCTTTGGCTATGTGAACTTTAGATTGTATGCTAGCGCATACTGTCAGAGCACCACTGCTATCTGAGATGTAAAAATCCCATGGCAAGAAACCATGGATTTTCGGTCAAGTCAGTCTTGCAAAACAATACGCTGTACCCTTCAAATCTTTCTGGAATAACATCCAACGAACGGTCCCTCCACTCAGCTTTTTGGGTCAACAGATTGATGAGTGGTAGGTGGAATTCCACACTGATACCGCTTTACCGCTCGCAGTTAGGCGCTGCTACGGCCCAGAAGCCTATCTCGCACGCGACTGGTCAGACCACCGGGCCGCTTGCCAGTGCGACATCAATGTGGGCTTTGATTGACCGAAGGTCTGAACTCAACAGCCAACCGTGATCCAGTAATCGCCGAATGCCAGGTACCAATAACGCATCGGAAGGCGTCGGAATTTCCAGAATGCTTTCGCCGCATACACTCACACGACGCGTTGTACGTGTATTTTTTCCCTGGTTTGCAGCGTTGTACACCTTTAGTGGTTGTTTTAGCGGGAACGCTAGCTTGGAAGTTTCCAACCGAGAACTTCCAAACGGCGCATCGGAGTTACTGGAATATCAATACCAGCACAGTTTTGTTCACGACTGGGTCTTGCTGTAACATACTGGGGGAATTTTCCGTACGACGCAAACAAACAAACAGTCTGCAGGCAAGTTTTAACACGGGCTCATAAAATCGTTCGAAGTAACAGTTTGGTCGGTAGTTCTTGTAGTCCAGTCATCTAGTCACTTTTTGGGCTCGCTAGGTAATTCTGGTACTCCAGTCATCTAGTCACTTTTTGGGCTCGCATGCCGACCGGCCGACGGTGACTGTGAGTGGGTGAACTGAAGCGGGTGACTGAAGTAAGATTTGTATGCGATGAACTAGCATGTGTATTTCACCTGATCCCCTCATCAACCAAAAAAGCGCATTGCGGCGTCGTGGTTGGTTGGCCTGTGTTTTTAAATATGAACTAGCCTGGTTAATAAAGCGTCCGCCAACTTATGAACAATTGAAGCTAATATTTGTTTAGAGTACTCTATGGTTCCTTGACGCTTTTTTGCTGTTCATCAGATACCACTGACCCCACTGCGTCTACATCACAGTTTCACATCCTACCCAAGGCTCAAATGGAAGCCGATGTTCGCTCAGGTGCCTATGTGGAATGGGGTAAAGTCGGCGGTAACTATTATGGAATTCGGTTCTCTGCTATTCGTAAAATCATCGCTTCCGGGAGAACGGCCGTGTTGGATTGTCAGCCACAAGTGAGTGTGCGTAAATCAACACACCACATTTTTGCAGTAGTAGTCCTCCGAAAGAGGGATTTGCTGGTGCGGTGTCGCAGACACTTTTCCCCTTTTGTTTTATCAAACTATCCATTTCTGTTTCTCATCTTCCATCCACAGACTGTTCACCTACTTCACCAGCCGGAATTCAACCCATGCACGGTCTTTATCGCAGCGCCCAATTTTGAAGTTGCGAAACGGATGATGAAAGACGGTCTGGAGAACGGGGTGACGAAGAATAACCGCTCTGTAAGTGTGCGTTTTGTTGATACTCTGAGTCTATGTGAGTGATCACCACCTGACCATGCAATATTATTAAACAGCTGAAGCGTCCACTGCAGTCGACGCGGGTCCAATTTGTCACTATTAAATTTCTCTCCAAACATAAATTTCGATAGCCAACACCGAGAAACATAGAAGACACTCATTCCGATTTCCACCAATCTCTTAATGTTTTTGAGGCGATTTTGGACAAACTTTCGGATTCCAATCTTTTTGAACAATTCTTATTACCCTTCAGATGCATGCTCCTCACAGCGGTTGTATCCATTTCATGCAGAAAGTGCGTCTTTGGAACTGGAGGTCTTTAAGACATGCACTTGTTTACACCATTGTATTCACTGGTCCCAGCTGTTATTGGCATAATGGACGTCGATTTCTGGGAATCCTGGTATTTTACTCAAGGTGCCTCTTTTTCGCTTACTAGTGGCCATGGGACTTCAGTGGTTTGTTGTATCGGGGCACGTAGTCATGCCAAATGAGTCATTTCAAATCATTTACCGCGTGCCAAATCGACTATTAGTATCTATTCAACGACGTTGCTTGTCAACGGCCGAGACAGTCGCTATACGCCTGCGAAACCCGGTACTGTGCTGTCAAAGACGTTTCGTACGAACGCTGAGTCTGCCTTAGTCGTGTGACACGAATCAACCGGCCAAGTCACTCAACAGCCCTCTTCACTGTCTCACAGCACCCAACTAGATGCGAACTGGGGGGGGGGGGGCGCAGACAACCAATCGTTCGTGTCTCCACGTTTTTGCGTTTCACTAACCAACCTTCGTAGCGTACTTCGTTTTTCGCTCTTATTTAAACCATTAGATATGTGCTGACCTGATGACGAGATCCCGAAAACATTAATGTTCGTCACTGTGTTATTTTTCAAACCATGGGAATATTCAAGCAGTTTGTTGTATCGTATTCGCATGTATCATATCAGACGCATTGATTCGTTGATATTTGTGCAAACAGCTGGACAAGTTAACAGATCGTTAGTTGTGGGACAGTATACTGTAACTCGTGAACTGAAAGCTAGTTCGAGGAGGCTAGTTCGCGCGGTGAGGCTTGGATGGCATTTTTGTAGAGTTTACTGTTATGTCTTTTTAAGGTGATGTTCCCTGATGCAATTGCTGTGTTTTCACGATGAGTTTTGCGGAACGAAGTTTCCGCCCTCTTTTCATAAAAAAGCGGTGTGGTCTCTTCTCCCCGTTGCTAGTTTCCGTCAGCCACTCCAGCAATCATGTTTGGAGTGTCTTGCCTGAACAGCCTGGGCCCCGTCCACCATATGATGTCGTCCCATATGACTACAAGGTAACTCTCCTAACTCGGCAAATGGGTCTGCGTAGACCTGGAATGCTTTTACGCAAGCCAGGTGGAGCTGCACAGATGTGGTCAGCAGAGCAGTTGATTAATCACTCTGAGCGGATCTACCTTTTTCAAAATAATTCGATCGCTGTAGTGGGCAATTTATTCCCCATGTTACCCACGTAATATTGACCTTAGGACTCGTGGCATTTTTTTAGTCATGCTCAACATAGGTGTTGGGTGGGTTTTATGTTACTTTGGCGGGAAAGCGCAAAAAACTACTCAGATGCAAATTTACCTCAAACAGTACATCTTGTTGCTGTGTACACTATTTCGAAGCACATTTTCTTGTTGTCCTTCTGAACTTTGGGGACCTCATTCTTTAATGCTCTTAATGTCCTGTAATGACCAGACCGATCAAAATCGCTTGTGCAACTGCTTCTCTGTAAGGGGACACAGAAGATGGGTTTTCGACCTAAAGCTTCCACCTGACCTAAAGCTGTCACCCTGACGTGGTGATCACGCTTGAGTACTGCGACGATCCGGCGGGCTGCATTGGCTGTAACTTCGTCCCATAAGGAATATGCCAGGATGGCCAAAGAGGAGCAGTCAAATCAAGAACAGCGAGAGTAATCGTGCTGCAATGCGATCTGGGATAAAGTTATACTGTCTTTTACGACAAGAAGGCACAAAGCTGTTTCCCCTAGACAACCAGTATCTCCATATTCATGGAAGCAGCGACGCTGCCTTCCCCCGAGGATGGACGGGTCAGAAAACACTAGCCCTAATCACTACACAGCGGTTGACCGTGACCGCCGGCGCATTATTCATTACGGTCCACATACTTTTAAAACCAAAGCGTTTGTTGCTGGTTCAAAGGCACCTGCTGTGCGCGGCCGCAATAGGAGTGAGACATTAGTGAGTTACTTCCTGCGCTCCCGGGTTAGGTCAACTCCCTTCAGCCAAACAGGTTAGACTTTTGAGTCATCATCTACGGGCGGGGCCCCCAGAGACATCAGCTTATCCGTCAAGGGTCGATTTTAGAATGCTGCGGTGCGCTCCATATTATTATGCGAGTCAGACACCTGGCCGCTTCATGCTGAAGGCATCAAAATACTTTCAATGTTCGATCGTCGATGTCCTCGGAGCATTGCCCGAGTTCGGTGGGAATACTGGGTCAGTAGTGCTGCGGTACGGCGAATGGTATTTCCGATAACTCACCCAAGATAGGTGAACGGATCACACTTCACAAATTGTGCTGGCTCTCCCACGTGCTCCGTACGCCAGTCGACCGACTTCTCCGAAGGGCTCTTTTCGGTCATCCACGCGAAGGGTTGAAACGAGCCAGTAAAGATCAAACAATAGCCTGGCAATCAAGTATGAAAACCATTGCCAGCAAATTCAGCTGCGCTGGTCATTTCTGTCCCCCTCGATGGGGACACGAGACATCATCAGATATGGCTCAATCAATTCATAGCTTCCCTCCTATTCCCTCCAATTAAAAGTCCACCGACAACCCTGTATTTACGCACCAATTATAATTATATATTACCGCTTCCAATACGCACCTGTCTACCCCACTTCCTGATAATGATTTGCGCAGTCAGGAGCCAGGGCACGTGGATGCCCTATCACATTTTTGATTGTGGTGTGCAAAACAAGTTGACCGGATCTCGAAAAGCTCAGCGCATTGGTGAACTTTTCTGTTAGACTTCGGATGACCGGTTACGTCACCCTTTGGCTGCCATTTATGGAAACCACAGATTTGTCTAACAGTCTTTGACAGTTGGTAGTCTGATGTAGACACTTTGAGCCTCCATTTGCGAGCTACCTTGGTGTCGCTTGTGAGTGACCAGTTTGTGAAAAACTGATGATTATGGAAATCGGAATTCATTCGAGTATCGTTGAGATAGATGTGGCCGGATACTGAAAGGCTTAGTCCAGTCGTCGATGTAATGGAACAACTAGCTAGACGATTCAATCTTCCTGACGAAACTGGGATAATTCGCGCGCTGCAAATTTATTCAGATTCTTTAATTTAGACTAAATTAGCCGATGGACTCCGTCTCTGGAAACCTCTCATAATAACTTCGGCTTTGGTTGCGTTTCGTGCGATTGAAGCAGGCTCGTGTTTTTTGCGAATCACCGGACTAGATGAATCCATCGATGTTTTGACTATCGTAAACCCAAAACTGTAGAAGTCATCGACTGGATTTTGAACTACAAGTGATCCATGTCGACAACAGATTGGTCTCGTTTATTCGCTATATTTCCCCCAAAGTAATCGCTTAAATGTCAAAATGTTACCTTAGCTCTGCCGTTTACTTCACTATCGTATATGTATACGTATATATGTGTATCACCAGGATGAAGAACTACGCTGTTTGATTGAAGAATCGCAGACGTTTGCCCGCGACCATCGCCATCTGTATTTCCACAGCCTAACGAACTCCGACATGCGTGAGACCGTGGCCAGACTGAGTCGTCTGATCTCTCGCCTTGAACGACACCCAAGTTGGATACCGTCCGGATGGGCCTACGAACTGAGTGTACCTGGTGGACCAGGTGTGTAAAAGAATTTGTTATGTGCTATCTGTTTTTCATGCTAATTTGTACGTGCAAGTTGTACGGCGTTGGCGCCCTAGTGTCTTCATGCTGATTTTGTGCCCGTAATGGTTTAGCCTGCAAATAGCGTACCTGTCAGCTCGGGTTTTTGAGCTTTAAAAATGCTACAGCAAAACCTGTGTCACCTAGATAATTTGCACAACGTACTAACTTCCACCTTGCTTCGCTTACCTCTTTCAGTAGTCCTTTCACCCTAAATTCAATCTCGTGATCTCCCTCGAATTCCACCCACCAATGGTGCGTTTTTTAATGTTATTATAATTCACTAATACATGGGGGAAGCATTTTTTGTCGAGGTTATGCATTTGACAAGTGAATTCCCCGCTCAGCATGGGATTTTTCCTTTATCACCATTTGGGAGTGAAATCGCCAGTAGATATTGGTGTAGTGGCAGGTCTGGGTTTAAGAATTCAGCAGTGTTGCAACGTTTCTCAATGCTTTCTGCTTGTTGGAGAGTGACCCTCAGTTATGGTTCATTGTTACGTTGTGGATCCTATTAATTGACTGCTTGGCTGGTGCTATGTTTGGCCTGCTCTCCCCCCATTCAGAACTCGTCACTTTTGTTTCGTTGTTTGGTCAAGTTCGGCAAACAACTTTTGGACACTGCAGACTTTTATAAACATCGGTAAATTTTCCAGGAAAGATTCCGTTCACGTTTGCTGTAGCAACATTATGTTTAACATCATAACAATGCTGTGGTGCGCTTCGACCAGAATAATACGGAGGGAGAAATTCTCCTGTCTGTTAAACATGAAACAGTCCATCACACACTTCGTCACTATCCGAAACACTCGCGCGAAAACGAAATATAGTCGTCACTCTGGTGCGATACGTACTGAGAAACATCCCACTCCATCCTCCTTTAGACTAAACTACCTGCTTCGACTCACCACACATTTTCATGGTCAGGAAAATAACCTGTTAGCCTAGTGTTGATGTGTTCTCGTGAACGTTGTCTTCTAGCAGTACCACAAACCACTTGATTAACTTCTCAATGGAAGTCCGTCCAATAGAAAAGCTCCTTCTTAGATATGTTCAACACCACTGTTTCCCGTAAATGATGATTGTACCCCTGTTTGCAAGTTTGGTTCGATCGGCAAACTCCATGGAGCCAAGCGTTCAATGAAATATTTAATAGTTCCGACCCTATCCTTCAAAGTTCTTTTTCGGGAACTTCAAGTTTTCGGAACCGAGCTTCCAAGTTTGATTTTCGGATAGTCTGCATTCAACTTGCTGAGGCTGACTACTGCGAGGAGACGGACCACTTTCGGCTTGACCATCAACTGTTGGATTCGCGCAGACCCTAACCAAGCCTTGTCTCCAGCGGTGAGAACCGTAGACCAGAAATTTTTTAAAGCAGATTCTCCTGCATTGGATAACTTCGTCAGTTAACTCTCACGGTGGCAGGCTGTTGGGTTAAAGGTCTCGCTTACTCGTCGCCTTATGGTCCGCTTCTTAAAAATGGGCCCATGCCTCTGTACTTGACGTTTACAAATATTCTAACTCATACCATTTGTCAAATGATAACTCGGGAGAACGGTGTGGTCGTAAATGTTTGTTGATAGAACTCAAGTGTCCGGAAGCAAGTCCCGAACTAGGTGGTGATAGAACTACCATGATTTCATCTCACTGTCCGATCGCTGGCCCATTTGGCTGACCCATTAGAGTGAAGTCTCCAGATTCCAAGAAGACGCTGGAAATACCAATGATGAGGCTCCTCCTGCATATACAAAGCTGCCACACAGATAGATCACATGATTATTATTTCTTTTACATCGGATGATTTTGCCGGCCCCTAAAATGATTTCAACCGGCTTTTATGTTAAGTATGATGCTGGGAACATGTAGTGTTCCACTGTTCCTGGGAATGATATTCCTGGTTGAACACCAGCAAGCTCGGTCTACGGGGTCGATAGCTCATTTTCGCCGTTTATTCTTGTCAACCTTGTTATCAGCCTACGTTCTGAGGGTGAATACGCTGGGAGTACGGGGCAATTCTGGAACAACAACATGTGTGTTTGCATCGGCTTTCATTAACTTTAGCGGGTTCATTCAGGTTCGAATGACGGAAACGCTCGATCAGGCTGTTGCCCTCGAGCTCGGTCTCTCAGTATCAGTAAACGGAGTTTATTTTCTCATTTATGTTGAACATTAATGGTTCTTTTCCTCGCACTCTGGGGATACTTTGTTTTCAAAACTTTTTGATGAATTTGCGCGTCACTTGAAACAATATGAATACTAAGAACGGGGCATTGTAGTTGCCTTGGCGCCGTTGTTTTTGTGCCGCTCTTCAGTGACTTTTTATTCAAGCCTCTACACTAAAAGGAAAGCATTCAAAGTCCATTTCCCATCTTCAAATGTGATTATCTTGTCGCGTGCTTGCGTATCGATTGTACATCCTATTCCCCACTGGAAGATTCGATCGTTCATATGGGGAAAAGGCGTAAGTTGTAAACGAATTGTAAACGTGGATAGAGAGCGTCTTCGTTGCTCGTAAGCCGCGGTGCATGCTTGAGTTGGTCCTTCTGTGAATCAACGGAAGGGCGAATGCCACGTTTGATAGGTTTACGAAACTGATAAAGCTGTACCGAGGAGGACAAAATTCAGAGGTTTTCTTTTGTCCATGGATAGGGCGGAGTTGAGTTATACAGCGTACTGTTGGAGATTGACCGAAAAATATGAAGCATCGGGAAATTAGATACAATATTAGTTTCACGATTATTCAGCATAGTCGATCTAATTCTAACAGCAATCATTTAATCTCATTGTGATGTGGAGAACAGAAGCGTAAAGATTAAATCAGTGGCTGGTAGAGTGGGCAATCAGATCGCACTGAAAGCTGCTATGATGTTTTAGATGTTGCCTGAGTTGGCCAACTGCTTACTAAATGACCGTGTCTTTGTTTGTTTCCCTCATACGTAAGCTAAGCTTTAGTATCATGGCTACTCAGAAAACTTTCCCAAAATCGTACGACGCACCTGAGGTTTATTCTCTTCGATTTACACCTAGAAGTACGCGAGTTGTCAGTTATGTGTAGAAGTGTTCCTCAAAACGAAACCCCCTTGTAGTTACCGGTGTTTCACACAATATTGGCACCTTAGTCACCTTTTCCCAGGGTTTAACATGGTGTTGTTACGTTTCGCCCGGTCAATATCAATAGCAACTAGTTCAGTGTGCAACTCATTGTCTGTCACAGTATCTCTCAACGTTTCTCTCGCCTCATATCATTTCATCATCCCTTGGATTCGCTGTTCGAGGGAGGTTATTATAGATCCAGGTTTCCACTTGATGGAAAACTCTGTTGGTCTTTAATTCTGCTAGTCTCGAATTTTTCGGCCGAAGTGGCACTGACTTTTCTGAAAGTATTTTAGTTTCGTGTGTTAGCTTGCCACCGACGATTTTCAGTGGTTCAGTAATTCACATAAGACGCCGCTGTTTTGCGCCGGACTCGCATCACGACCTGGACAGTGGATGAATAATTTACCACAATCCACTGTGAACAGTATTTAAATGATTTTTTTTATTTAAACGGTATTTAAACGGTTAGGTAGGACTGCTCTACCCATGCGAATACAGTCACCCACTTTCCTAGTGTGCTTGTATAGCGCCGAGCTCAATGCCATTCGAATTTTGATGACTTGAACACCGGAGTTAAAAGGTAATGGCCATCAGGTACCTAGGCCTTTTCATATTTGCCGCATGATCGTTTGCTATAGCCATGGTGTTGTAAAATTTCACTGCGTTTCAAACAAAGAATTGTAGCAACTCGAATTCGGCAGTCATTTGAAAGTCCGGAGTTGCTGGTATTCACACTGGAAGATGAATAATCACAGATAATCGCAGGATCGGTGTCTCATTCTTTGGTTCCAGTAAAATGCTATCGTTTTATCCAATTGATGAAGGGCTGCATATTCTGGCATTGTAGTAAGGTTCAAACACACGTGCTGTTTCCGGCAACTAATTGCGAAAGTTAAAACCTGTTTGTTGAGCTTGGAACTACTCCCAGTCACTCTGTCACTCCTTATCATTCCGTCGAGTAGCTGGCGTTTGCTGTATAATTATTTCAAACAATATTTGATGAGAGAAGAATGTGCCCAGCACCAAAAGCTGCGGTGATTTCGTCACGCATAGCACACGCTGAGTCTCCATTTTCATGTGCCTATTCTTGTGTCCACTTGAGGGTGGCACAAGCATAGAGAAAGCTCTCTTCTGAGTTCACCACACCAAGTGGTGTCAGACAGGCCTTTCCTCCTTCACCTTTCCTTTTCAACTTCGTCACTGATACGATCATTGAGGACTCACTATCAGCCTCTAATGCCTGTGGGGTCGAAGGGCTCCATGGGCCTCCGCTCACAGATATCGAGTACGCAGACGACATAGCTCTTCTGGGATCTGATCCCGTTGTAATGTAAACAATATTAAATAATCTAAATAATTCTGCCTCGCGGTTCGGCATGCGCTTCACACCTGCAAAGTGTAAAGTGCTGCTACAAGACTGAGTGGGCTCAAACCCTAATCGCATGCTTGTGGATGAGCCGATTGAGGTAGTAGACAAATTTGTTAACCTGGGTAGCTGTACCAGTTCCGGTGGTCTCGCGAAAGATGATGTTTCTATCGGGATTTGGAAGGCCAGAGCAGCTTTTATACATCTGCCTCATCTGTGGCGTAGGCGTGACATCACCTTAACCGTTATGGTTCGAGTTTACGATGCTGCGCTGCGCTCCATACGGATCAGAAACCCGGTCACTGCGCGCCAAGGACGTAAAAGGCTTTCAATGTTTTGCCATCGATTTCTTCGGAGCATTGCCCGGATCTGGTGGGAAAACCGGATCAGCAATGTTGAAGCACGTCGAATGGTATTCAGAAGAAATAACTCTCCCACGCTAACTGAACTGATCGCTCTCCACAGGTTGCGCTGGCTTGGCCACGTATGCCAGTCGACTGAATTCCTCGAGAGGTTCTTTACGCACAACCACATGAAGGGTCGAAACGAGCCAGAGGAGGTCAAACAATGATTTGGCAGCAAACTATGAAAGCCGTTATCAGTAAGCTCAGCCACACTGTCATTGCCGTCTCCCTGGATGGGGACATCGAGCTGGGCCACATTAATGGTTAAAGACATTGCCAGACATGGTCCAGTGGCACCATCACCGGCGTTCGTGCACCAAACTATTTCCTTCAATTCCCAACTCCCTTCCTAATCCTCCACTTAACAGACCACCTACAGTGCTGTATTTGCGCACTGATTTATCAGCTGCTGCCTCCAATGTGTAGCTGCCTACCCCTCCTCCCCGAATCATCGGTGAACGAAGCTGTGTCAAATACAACCACTGTACAGCAAGTACGCGGTTCTTACAGCTGCCAATGATGATGGTAATGAAGCATAGGATTGGGTCAAGTTTGGACTTGGTATAGGTCTATGAAATCTATTGCAAAACGTTTGGGTAGTCACGGTGCTACTCGCCTTTTGAGATAGCGTCTGCGTAATCTACCCCGTGAATGGCTGGAGACGCTGCAAGGTATGGCCACCAATCGATGTCAGTGGCTTTCTTGTTTCCCCATTTCTATCCAGATTGCCTAAGTAAGTGTCTGGAGGTGCAGGTGCCTCGGACTGACTGGATAGACAACTAGAATTAAGTTCCTTCTCCGTTTACTTTTATTGCTTTCTTCCCAATAGAATATTCAGATAAACTATGACTGTATGACAGCGAAGCACCAGCGTTGTGCTGTAATGGTATCGATGATAATAATGCATTATGCTTCTTCCTGGGACACCACGCTTGACATTTGCGAGCACGGTTTTGCTAATCCCATGAGTCAATTGGCCTGGGGCCAAAACTTGCCAGTTGACGAGGCTGGTCGTAATTGGTCGTCAGGACTGGGGTAATAAATTCAAGCAAGAAAAATCAGATCTCAAAGTTTCACTCAATTGCATTACGATTGATGCGTAACCTTCAAAATAGAACTCTCGCACCGTAAACGTACTCCGTTTCCAGTTGCTGCTGTCCAAAACTAGGCAACTCGCTACTCTTTCCTCCTTCGAATTGCATAGCATCTGAACAATGTAGCGGTTCGGCTCCGCAACAGTGGTTGGTAGCACTCAGGAAAATTCGTTACAGACGGCATCGCGATCCGTCCGGGAAAGCCCTTTGAGGACGAGGATGTGCAATATCCTCAGTCTTCCAGCCTTTTTTCATTGATATGGGTGAGACAAACTTCCCCTGGTACTTCAGTTCGGGTGCGGATCATCTGTCGGTGCTGACCCTAAAATCTAGATTAGCCTGCAAATGTTATATTTGAAGACCATAATCGTCCTCCCACGCCTTCTCGGGCGCTCTAGCACTTACTCAGCTGTCACGCGCAAGTTACTCCACACGAATTTCACGTGATAGCGACTGACTGGTTGCACATGGTGCGGCAGACAACCAGCACTGCGACAGCTGATGCTTCTCACCTCTCCATCATTATTACCCTTTGAGTTTCCCCCGATACCGGCTAGTGATGGTTGCATTCGGTATTTCATTCAAGTGGTCGGAAACACCGTTCGTGAACTGCCGTGCATAGTGTGACTGAGGATGAAGGTAATTTGCTTACATGATTTATCTTTATCCAGGGCTGTGCCACTAATCTTTCAAAAGGTTAGAGGAGTAACGTATACTACAAGTGATAAAGTTCCAACTATTATCCCCCTGTTTCACTCTTCCAATACATATAACTGCAATCCATCTTGGAGTGATGTAAAATTTGTCCCACGTTTTCAAATTGAGGAAAGAATAATGAATGGAAGTTCTTCATCTCCTTGTACAGCCTCCTGAAAGAACGTTTTCTAGCTCACTTATTACCTTCAAATTTTATACCATTCTACACACCAGCAGTTACAGATTGACGTGTTTTACAGCTCTCAATTGCTGTTCATTCCGTATCCTTTTGGTAACCACTCAGTCATGCATACCGTAAAACTGCACATGGCCCGGGTCACCGTTGTGAGGACCCACGTTGGAACTCAGTTTTGGAGCGAAGCTAATCGTGGTCTCTTCTCGTCGCAACTTAGTTCGTACGGTTGCTTTAAAGATCAATAAATACAACCTTCTCGCTCCGTAACGGAGGTGCCCGGTTTCTGTCTCGCATTAATGGGTTCGTTATCTCGCTAAGATAAAAACCTAATTGGAAAAGTGCTTTTTTGCGACGCCAATTTGAAACGACTGATAGTCATATAACCGGTTTACCTTAGTACGTCCCATAAACGCATTGTCTTCTCGTTTCCTCGTGTGTGTGTGTGTACCTTTCATTTTGCTGTAGCTGTTGAGAGCTGAACGTGTCCTCCATCCATCAGCTCGCTTTGTTTGATTTCGTCAGATGGCACGTCGAATGCCCTCAGATAAGATACTCCTAAACTCTAACGAAGTCTTGTTCCATTTGTGACCCCACTGGTGTATCTGGCCAACTTATTTGAACTCCGGGTCTCGCTTTGCTTTGTATCAATGGGACATGCATGTCGTACTTCAGATTTATCCGGAAAACTTTTTAGCTTTCTAGGTCCGCGTAACTCAGCGCAAATGTAGCCTCCTCGTCTTATCCATTTCTCTACCTGTAGCTCCGAACTTTGTGCCTGGTTCCAGCAGCCTAAGTGCCCTTGGCATACCAACTCTTCCTCCGGCTCACTCATCCACAATCGCTCGATCAGTTTTGTCCGGAATATCCGAAGCTTCATCCGAATCTGCCAACCGCTTGGCCCGTCCACCCAGTATCTGCAGTGAAAGTGTGTTGAGTGAACGGCAGCCCGGCGGTTTGCGTTCCCCATGCAATCGACCTAACGCTGCTGCTAGCCCGATAACGCCCAGACAGCGTTTGTACGAGCGAAGGCGGAAACCACAGCACGATTTTCAACCCCTGTCACCTGCGATCCCCGAGCAGGATACGCCGTCCGAGTCAGGTGTCAGTCATTCGGTGGTAGGAAATCGTGTCATTGAAACACGCCACCATACAAAAAGATCGCACTCCGAACAGCCCAGTGCACCAAAACGATTTGGCGGAAGGGAATCAGTTCCCTCCATCGATCAGGTGAGTTTTACTTTGTTACCCTCCCGAACTTTATTGTTTGGGCGTTTACTCCGTTCAATAATCTCTTTATCTCCTCTTAACCACCTTTGGGCCATTTTAGCCATCGTGGCCAGGAAAAGTAATTGTGTTGGCGATCGCATTCTCTCGGTCGCTAACCTGAGCTGATGCCCCAGAAGTCAGTAGTATTGACGGACGTGGTCATTCCCTTTGTTAGTATCTATCCTGCTTCTAAGCGTAACAGCTCCACTCTCTTAGACAAGCAAACTTCAGTAGAGTGGTTGCACCTTGTTTACAGTCCACACTTGATAACCGATCGGTTAGTATCCTCTGTTGTGGTTGAAACAAACCTACCTCAGAGGAGCGGTCTATTGCTACTGAGCGCAGAAAAAACTGAACCGGCACCCGCGTGACAACGGGCTTCACCTTCTGGATCCAACTTACTGTTTATTTGTGGCGGTAACCACACCCCCGGATTATCACCTGTTCCACAACCCACGATCTGTTTCGCTCTTCTTGAGGCTTCTCAAAAAGGAGGCTATCATAAACGGAAGCTTCCGCTGGATTCAGTTGAGTCTCCCATCAAAACCATATGACAGTAGTTGGCGAATGTTTTAAACTTGTCCAGCAAACATTAGGTCTTATGAGTTCTATGCGTAGTAAATCAAAATTGATGGTAGGTTTTCCGGATGTCTGCCTTAAGAGGTTGCTCGTAAGCCGCGGTGCATGCTTGAGTTGGTCCTTCTGTGAATCAACGGAAGGGCGAATGCCACGTTTGATAGGTTTACGAAACTGATAAAGCTGTACCGAGGAGGACAAAATTCAGAGGTTTTCTTTTGTCCATGGATAGGGTGGAGTTGAGTTATACAGCGTACTGTTGGAGATTGACCGAAAAATATGAAGCATCGGGAAATTAGATACAATATTAGTTTCACGATTATTCAGCATAGTCGATCTAATTCTAACAGCAATCATTTAATCTCATTGTGATGTGGAGAACAGAAGCGTAAAGATTAAATCAGTGGCTGGTAGAGTGGGCAATCAGATCGCACTGAAAGCTGCTATGATGTTTTAGATGTTGCCTGAGTTGGCCAACTGCTTACTAAATGACCGTGTCTTTGTTTGTTTCCCTCATACGTAAGCTAAGCTTTAGTATCATGGCTACTCAGAAAACTTTCCCAAAATCGTACGACGCACCTGAGGTTTATTCTCTTCGATTTACACCTAGAAGTACGCGAGTTGTCAGTTATGTGTAGAAGTGTTCCTCAAAACGAAACCCCCTTGTAGTTACCGGTGTTTCACACAATATTGGCACCTTAGTCACCTTTTCCCAGGGTTTAACATGGTGTTGTTACGTTTCGCCCGGTCAATATCAATAGCAACTAGTTCAGTGTGCAACTCATTGTCTGTCACAGTATCTCTCAACGTTTCTCTCGCCTCATATCATTTCATCATCCCTTGGATTCGCTGTTCGAGGGAGGTTATTATAGATCCAGGTTTCCACTTGATGGAAAACTCTGTTGGTCTTTAATTCTGCTAGTCTCGAAGTTTTCGGCCGAAGTGGCACTGACTTTTCTGAAAGTATTTTAGTTTCGTGTGTTAGCTTGCCACCGACGATTTTCAGTGGTTCAGTAATTCACATAAGACGCCGCTGTTTTGCGCCGGACTCGCATCACGACCTGGACAGTGGATGAATAATTTACCACAATCCACTGTGAACAGTATTTAAATGATTTTTTTTATTTAAACGGTATTTAAACGGTTAGGTAGGACTGCTCTACCCATGCGAATACAGTCACCCACTTTCCTAGTGTGCTTGTATAGCGCCGAGCTCAATGCCATTCGAATTTTGATGACTTGAACACCGGAGTTAAAAGGTAATGGCCATCAGGTACCTAGGCCTTTTCATATTTGCCGCATGATCGTTTGCTATAGCCATGGTGTTGTAAAATTTCACTGCGTTTCAAACAAAGAATTGTAGCAACTCGAATTCGGCAATCATTTGAAAGTCCGGAGTTGCTGGTATTCACACTGGAAGATGAATAATCACAGATAATCGCAGGATCGGTGTCTCATTCTTTGGTTCCAGTAAAATGCTATCGTTTTATCCAATTGATGAAGGGCTGCTTATTCTGACATTGTAGTAAGGTTCAAACACACGTGCTGTTTCCGGCAACTAATTGCGAAAGTTAAAACCTGTTTGTTGAGCTTGGAACTACTCCCAGTCACTCTGTCACTCCTTATCATTCCGTCGAGTAGCTGGCGTTTGCTGTATAATTATTTCAAACAATATTTGATGAGAGAAGAATGTGCCCAGCACCAAAAGCTGCGGTGATTTCGTCACGCATAGCACACGCTGAGTCTCCATTTTCATGTGCCTATTCTTGTGTCCACTTGAGGGTGGCACAAGCATAGAGAAAGCTCTCTTCTGAGTTCACCACACCAAGTGGTGTCAGACAGGCCTTTCCTCCTTCACCTTTCCTTTTCAACTTCGTCACTGATACGATCATTGAGGACTCACTATCAGCCTCTAATGCCTGTGGGGTCGAAGGGCTCCATGGGCCTCCGCTCACAGATATCGAGTACGCAGACGACATAGCTCTTCTGGGATCTGATCCCGTTGTAATGTAAACAATATTAAATAATCTAAATAATTCTGCCTCGCGGTTCGGCATGCGCTTCACACCTGCAAAGTGTAAAGTGCTGCTACAAGACTGAATGGGCTCAAACCCTAATCGCATGCTTGTGGATGAGCCGATTGAGGTAGTAGACAAATTTGTTAACCTGGGTAGCTGTACCAGTTCCGGTGGTCTCGCGAAAGATGATGTTTCTATCGGGATTTGGAAGGCCAGAGCAGCTTTTATACATCTGCCTCATCTGTGGCGTAGGCGTGACATCACCTTAACCGTTATGGTTCGAGTTTACGATGCTGCGCTGCGCTCCATACGGATCAGAAACCCGGTCACTGCGCGCCAAGGACGTAAAAGGCTTTCAATGTTTTGCCATCGATTTCTTCGGAGCATTGCCCGGATCTGGTGGGAAAACCGGATCAGCAATGTTGAAGCACGTCGAATGGTATTCAGAAGAAATAACTCTCCCACGCTAACTGAACTGATCGCTCTCCACAGGTTGCGCTGGCTTGGCCACGTATGCCAGTCGACTGAATTCCTCGAGAGGTTCTTTACGCACAACCACATGAAGGGTCGAAACGAGCCAGAGGAGGTCAAACAATGATTTGGCAGCAAACTATGAAAGCCGTTATCAGTAAGCTCAGCCACACTGTCATTGCCGTCTCCCTGGATGGGGACATCGAGCTGGGCCACATTAATGGTTAAAGACATTGCCAGACATGGTCCAGTGGCACCATCACTGGCGTTCGTGCACCCAAACTATTTCCTTCAATTCCCAACTCCCTTCCTAATCCTCCACTTAACAGACCACCTACAGTGCTGTATTTGCGCACTGATTTATCAGCTGCTGCCTCCAATGTGTAGCTGCCTACCCCTCCTCCCCGAATCATCGGTGAACGAAGCTGTGTCAAATACAACCACTGTACTGCAAGTACGCGGTTCTTACAGCTGCCAATGATGATGGTAATGAAGCATAGGATTGGGTCAAGTTTGGACTTGGTATAGGTCTATGAAATCTATTGCAAAACGTTTGGGTAGTCACGGTGCTACTCGCCTTTTGAGATAGCGTCTGCGTAATCTACCCCGTGAATGGCTGGAGACGCTGCAAGGTATGGCCACCAATCGATGTCAGTGGCTTTCTTGTTTCCCCATTTCTATCCAGATTGCCTAAGTAAGTGTCTGGAGGTGCAGGTGCCTCGGACTGACTGGATAGACAACTAGAATTAAGTTCCTTCTCCGTTTACTTTTATTGTTTTCTTCCCAATAGAATATTCAGATAAACTATGACTTTATGACAGCGAAGCACCAGCGTTGTGCTGTAATGGTATCGATGATAATAATGCATTATGCTTCTTCCTGGGACACCACGCTTGACATTTGCGAGCACGGTTTTGCTAATCCCATGAGTCAATTGGCCTGGGGCCAAAACTTGCCAGTTGACGAGGCTGGTCGTAATTGGTCGTCAGGACTGGGGTAATAAATTCAAGCAAGAAAAATCAGATCTCAAAGTTTCACTCAATTGCATTACGATTGATGCGTAACCTTCAAAATAGAACTCTCGCACCGTAAACGTACTCCGTTTCCAGTTGCTGCTGTCCAAATCTAGGCAACTCGCTACTCTTTCCTCCTTCGAATTGCATAGCATCTGAACAATGTAGCGGTTCGGCTCCGCAACAGTGGTTGGTAGCACTCAGGAAAATTCGTTACAGACGGCATCGCGATCCGTCCGGGAAAGCCCTTTGAGGACGAGGATGTGCAATATCCTCAGTCTTCCAGCCTTTTTTCATTGATATGGGTGAGACAAACTTCCCCTGGTACTTCAGTTCGGGTGCGGATCATCTGTCGGTGCTGACCCTAAAATCTAGATTAGCCTGCAAATGTTATATTTGAAGACCATAATCGTCCTCCCACGCCTTCTCGGGCGCTCTAGCACTTACTCAGCTGTCACGCGCAAGTTACTCCACACGAATTTCACGTGATAGCGACTGACTGGTTGCACATGGTGCGGCAGACAACCAGCACTGCGACAGCTGATGCTTCTCACCTCTCCATCATTATTACCCTTTGAGTTTCCCCCGATACCGGCTAGTGATGGTTGCATTCGGTATTTCATTCAAGTGGTCGGAAACACCGTTCGTGAACTGCCGTGCATAGTGTGACTGAGGATGAAGGTAATTTGCTTACATGATTTATCTTTATCCAGGGCTGTGCCACTAATCTTTCAAAAGGTTAGAGGAGTAACGTATACTACAAGTGATAAAGTTCCAACTATTATCCCCCTGTTTCACTCTTCCAATACATATAACTGCAATCCATCTTGGAGTGATGTAAAATTTGTCCCCCGTTTTCAAATTGAGGAAAGAATAATGAATGGAAGTTCTTCATCTCCTTGTACAGCCTCCTGAAAGAACGTTTTCTCGCTCACGTATTACCTTCAAATTTTATACCATTCTACACACCAGCAGTTACAGATTGACGTGTTTTACAGCTCTCAATTGCTGTTCGTTCCGTATTCTTTTGATAACCACTCAGTCATGCACACCGTAAAACTGCACATGGCCTGGGTCACCGTTGGAACTCAGTATTGGAGCGAAGCTAATCGTGGTCTCTTATTGTCGCAACTTAGTTCGTACTGTTGCTTTAAAGATCAATAAATACAACTTTCTCGCTCCGTAACGGAAGTGCCCGGTTTTTGCCTCGCATTGATGGGTTCGTTATCTCGCTAAGATAAAAACCTACCTAAAAAAGTGCTTTTTTGCGACGCCAATTTGAAACGACTGATAGTCATATAACCGGTTTACCTTAGTACGTCCCATAAACGCATTGTCTTCTCGTTTCCTCGTGTGTGTGTGTGTACCTTTCATTTTGCTGTAGCTGTTGAGAGCTGAACGTGTCCTCCATCCATCAGCTCGCTTTGTTTGATTTCGTCAGATGGCACGTCGAATGCCCTCAGATACTCCTACAACAAACTCTAACGAAGTCTTGTTCCATTTGTGACCCCACTGGTGTATCTGGCCAACTTATTTGAACTCCGGGTCTCGCTTTGTACATTATCAATGGGACATGCATGTCGTACTTCAGATTTATCCGGAAAACTTTTTAGCTTTCTAGGTCCGCGTAACTCAGCGCAAATGTAGCCTCCTCGTCTTATCCATTTCTCTACCTGTAGCTCCGAACTTTGTGCCTGGTTCCAGCAGCCTAAGTGCCCTTGGCATACCAACTCTTCCTCCGGCTCACTCATCCACAATCGCTCGATCAGTTTTGTCCGGAATATCCGAAGCTTCATCCGAATCTGCCAACCGCTTGGCCCGTCCACCCAGTATCTGCAGTGAAAGTGTGTTGAGTGAACGGCAGCCCGGCGGTTTGCGTTCCCCATGCAATCGACCTAACGCTGCTGCTAGCCCGATAACGCCCAGACAGCGTTTGTACGAGCGAAGGCGGAAACCACAGCACGATTTTCAACCCCTGTCACCTGCAATCCCCGAGCAGGATACGCCGTCCGAGTCAGGTGTCAGTCATTCGGTGGTAGGAAATCGTGTCATTGAAACACGCCACCATACAAAAAGATCGCACTCCGAACAGCCCAGTGCACCAAAACGATTTGGCGGAAGGGAATCAGTTCCCTCCATCGATCAGGTGAGTTTTACTTTGTTACCCTCCCGAACTTTATTGTTTGGGCGTTTACTCCGTTCAATAATCTCTTTATCTCCTCTTAACCACCTTTGGGCCATTTTAGCCATCGTGGCCAGGAAAAGTAATTGTGTTGGCGATCGCATTCTCTCGGTCGCTAACCTGAGCTGTTGCCCCAGAAGTCAGTAGTATTGACGGACGTGGTCAGTCCCTTTGTTAGTATCTATCCTGCTTCTAAGCGTAATAGCTCCACTCTCTTAGACAAGCAAACTTCAGTAGAGTGGTTGCACCTTGTTTACAGTCCACACTTGATAACCGATCGGTTAGTATCCTCTGTTGTGGTTGAAACAAACCTACCTCAGAGGAGCGGTCTATTGCTACTGAGCGCAGAAAAAACTGAACCGGCACCCGCGTGACAACGGGCTTCACCTTCTGGATCCAATTTGCTGTTTATTTGTGGCGGTAACCACACCCCCGGATTATCACCTGTTCCACAACCCACGATCTGTTTCGCTCTTCTTGAGGCTTCTCAAAAAGGAGGCTATCATAAACGGAAGCTTCCGCTGGATTCAGTTGAGTCTCCCATCAAAACCATATGACAGTAGTTGGCGAATGTTTTAAACTTGTCCAGCAAACATTAGGTCTTATGAGTTCTATGCGTAGTAAATCAAAATTGATGGTAGGTTTTCCGGATGTCTGCCTTAAGAGAGTGGAAGCATCGTGAAACAATAGGTGGTCTTAATCTGAGTATTTGTGGCCCGGGTGAGTTGTTCAGCGGAGTGGAGTAAACACCCACCTACTCACGTACTGACGGTTCCATCGCGTTGGGACGAAACGTTTGCAAGCCAGTTGCCAAAGCCCAGCGGTTAGTCTGGATGGCGCTTCTGGAAACTTCGTCTTTTCATTACTTGTTGCTTCTTACACAGGGAGGAAATCCTATCATTCGTTGTTTTAGTAATGCTGTTTTCTCTTATCCCTTCTCTTTATGTCTGACCTTAGTCCGACGCTCGTGAAGCATTGGAACGCGCAGCCTGTGAAAACAGAAATTCAGCAGGTGTCGAGTCTTCCTTCCCACGGGACGTTCATGCTAACACAAGGAGGGATCCGCGTATCGCCCAGCAAAATACAACTCGAACAGGATTGGCTAGACAAGGTCAAACTCCGAAAACGGCAACTAATCCACCGGAAGATGGAGGTGACTTCAGCGAGACGTCATCGGAAGATGACCAAGATAATGCTGTCTAAGTTCCCCACGATTGCCGCCGGGCCCCCTGGATATATAGATGGTCAGCTTTTATGCCAAAATATATACATTATACAAATTATCTGATTCACACGGTCTAACCGATGGCAGCTTTTTGCTCACTATAT